TAACCAACTGAGCCACCCAGGTGCCCCCCCTGCAAGAAATATTAAAGGGGACTCTTTGAGTGGGAAAGAAAGACCAAAAGTAACAAAGACCAGAAAGGAACAGAGACAATCTACAGGAAAAGCGACCTTACGGGTAATACAATGGCACTAAATTCATATCTATCAATAATCACTCTGAGTGTAAATGGACTAAATGCTCCAATCAAAAGACATAGGGTATCAGAATGGATAAAAACAAAAACAAGACCCATCTATATGCTACCTACAAGAGACTCATTTTAGACGTAAAGACACCTGCAGATTGAAAGTGAAGGGATAGAGAACCATGCTAGTGGATGTCCAGGAAAACTGGAGTAGCCATACTTATATCAGACAAACTATATTTGTGTGTGGGTGTTTAGAATGAAACTTCTTTTAAAATTTAAATTAGCCAACATAACTAACCAACATCATTTTTTTTCAAAGATTTTATTTATTTGTCAGAGAGAGAGAGAGAGAGTGCACATAAACAGGGGAAGGGGCAGGCAGAGCAGGCAGAGGGAGAAGCAGGCTCCCCGCTGAGCAGGGAGCCCGATGCGGGACTTGATCCCAGGACCCTGGGATCATGACCTGAGCCGAAGGCAGACACTTAACCGACTGAGCCACCCAGGCGTCCCCAACATCATTAGTTTTTGATACAATGTTCAATGATTCATTAGTTGCATAGAACACCTAGTGCTCATCACATCACATGCCGATTAATGCCCATCAAACAAACTATATTTTAAACAAAAGACTGTAATAAGAGATGGAAGTGGGCACTTTATCACAATAAAGGGGTCTATCCAACAAGAAGATCTAACAATTGTAAATATTTATGCCCCCAACTTGGGAGCACCCAGATATATAAATCAATTAGTAACAACATGAACAAACTCATTGATAACAATACAGCAATAGTAGGGGACTATAACACCCCACTCACAGCAATGGACAGATCATCTACATAGAAAATCAACAAGGCAGCAAGGGCTTTGAATGACATCATGGACCAGATGGACTTAACAGATCCATTCAGAACACTACATCCTGAAGCAGCGGAATACAGATTCTTTCCAGTGCACATGGAAGATTCTCCAGAATAGATCACATACTGGGTCACAAATCAGGCCTCAAAAAGTACAAAAAGATTGAGATCATACCATGCATATTTTCAGACCACAATACTATGAAACGTGAAGTCAACCATAAGAAAAAAATTAGAAAGACCACAAATACGTGGAGGTTAAAGAATATCCTACTGAAGAATGAATGGGTTAACCAGGAAATTAAAGAAGAAATACAAAAAATACATGGAAGCAAATGATAATGAAAACATGATGGTTCAAAACCTTTGAGATGCAGCAAAAGCGGTCATAAGAGGGAAATACATAGCAGTACAGGCCTACCTCAACAATCAGGGAGAGTCTCAAATACACAACCTAATCTTACACCTAAAGGGGCCAGAAAAGGAACAGCAAATGAAGCCTAAAGCCAGCAGAAGAAGGGTAATAATAAAACTAAGAGCAGAAATGAATGATAGAGAAACATAGAAGCAAACAAAAAAAACCAGATCAATGAAACTAGGAGCTGGTTCTTTGAAGAATTAACAGAATTAGTAAGCCCCTAGCCAGACTTATCAAAAATAAAAGAGAAAGGATCCAAATAAATGGAATCATGAATAAAAGAGATCACAATCAACACCACAAAAATACAAACAATTATAAGTGAATATTATGAGCACTTATATGCCAACAAATTAGGCAATCTGGAAGAAATGGATACATTCCTAGAAACATATAAATTACAAAGCCGAAACAGGAAGAAATAGAAAATTTGAACAGACCCATAACCAGCAAAGAAATTGAATCAGTAATAAAAAAATCTCCCAACAAACAAAAGTCCAGGGCCAGATGGCTTCCCAGGGGAATTCTACCAAACATTTAAAGAAGAGTTAATGCTGTTAGTGGAGGCTTGAGCCATTTACACCAAGCCCCACCTCTCTGCACTCTGCAGGTGCTTCTGAACTAGGGCAAGTATGCCTGAGAGTCAGAGCAGCAGCTGCCCTGCGCCCCCCTCCCCCGTCAGAAGATCAGCACAGACCCCCCCACATGCATTAAGCCTACTGACCATAGAGTGTTACAAAGCTTAAGGTCTAGGGGAAATAGGATCTAGCCCCTTTCTTTCTTTCAGCGCATGCAGGGAGGGGCAGAGGGGAGGGAGAGGTAGAGAGAATCTCAAGCACTCCGTGCTGAATGTGGGGCCTGACATGGGGCTCAATCCTCCAACCCTGAGATCATGACCTTAGCCAAAATCTGAGTCAGATGCTAACCGACTGAGCCACCCAGGCACCCCAGACCTGGCCTCGTTTAAGCAGACTAAAACACACCTAGTTAAAACTCGCCACACCCT